GGTTCTGTTCTAGAAACGGAACAGAATACAGTACCCAAATGATACAGTCTACAATACAAACACTTAATAAATATTCATTATTGTCAAATGTCTTTTACTTGAGCAGTGCATCTCCCCTCCAAGCACACTGCTCAGAGGAATCATTTTCAGCATCATGGCCAAAATCGATGGGAAACAATACTTCCTACATTTTCACATCATGATCGGGAGCTTCATCAGTTACATGGGAAATCCAGACCCACATAGAACTGCAATTCTAAGAAGGCAAAACTTCTGCACAATTTGGCAAGCTGAAACACTTCTGCTGAATTACAGACCCATCTTGTTGGAATGATGAATGAAACTGCTTTCGTACCACGAAGCTACGACTGTTTCCTGGGACGGCTGTAAAGGAGACTGCTAGGAATGTTTTCATCTGAAAGATAATTCCTTTAGTTCTTGAGGATTTCCTCTCAAGTTCAAATTGACTGCAGAAAGAGCATGCACATTTCTTGAGAATAAAACCCACATTAAAAACTCACAGTCATGATTTAGGAAGCAGTCAGTTGCAGTTTATGGGGAGAGACATTTGGCAAGGATTACTGGCACACACAACAAGGGTGGCACCGCGTGGTTAACATCATCACTGAGCTCACTAAGTTGTTCAAGGCAGAAAGGTTAAATTCGTAAGTGCTGCAATATGAAACATATATATTTTAAACAAAAAGAATTCATGATACCAAGTCATTTAAAATTGTTTATGTAAAGTCATTTTAAATTGTTTATGTCTTATGTAAAATTTTAAATCCCATATAAGTTGTACACAACGCAATGACTGAAACTATTGAACTAGAAATTCTTGAACTAGGGAAACTGATATGCTGAAAGATCTGTGAAATCCCTTTTAACTCAAGAACCAGAGTCATTCAGCCACTAGGCTAAGGAAACCTGGGTAGTTTGCGTTAACCTTGCACGTGACCTGCTCCAAGCTTAGAATGTGTCCCCATTTTAAAGTCCATCACCACTCAAAGACCATTTCAAGTCCCTCTGCCGCCCACCATTCTCCTCTGATTGCCAACGCCACGGCGGGGTCCCTGTCCATCTTGTTCTACCACACCGGTTACCAACAGACTAGAAGAGTCTGCTCTGGCTCACAGGAATGACTGCATTTTCCTTATTGGATCTTATACGTAGTATATCAAATTCTAGGATAGTTCTCAAGACTCCTGTGAACACATGCCTTCTCCCAGTTATTCAATCAAGCATGAAGATAGGTGTCGCTGCAAAGGGATTTTGCAGATGTAATTAGGGCCCAAATCAGGTGACCTTATAAAAAGGAGATTAACCAGGTGGCCCTAGCCTAATCACACACACCCTTTAAACAGCATCCAGAAGCTGAGAAGCCGGAGGGGTCTGAAGTGTGCGAGGGACAGGACACAAGCTGGAGTCTTTCTGGATTGCCTTTGAAGATGGCGGAGGCTGACTGTCGGTGAAGAAACGGGGACCACAGTCCTACCACAACAAAGAATTGAGCCTGGAAGTGGAATTTTCCCCAGACAAGAACTCAGTCTGAAAACTTTGGTTTCAGCCTTGGGACATCCTGAGTCACCATGTCAGAGCTTCTGACTTACAGTTAAACTGGGGTTATTTTAAGCCATAACTTTGTGGTAAGTTGTGTCTTATCTTCCTGGGGGATTTGTAGGAGGCCAGGGCAAGCTATATGCACTACTGAAATGTGTAAGGCACACTGATGAGAACAACAGAGATCAAACAAGTGTGTAAGGGACACAGATGAGGAAGATTCCGGCGGCCCTCGTGCTGTGGAACCAGGAACTGGAGTGGAAGACTATGGCAGAGCAGCCTTTCCTGAGACGGAGGCTGCCTTTGCCCCCTCCTCCTGGATGCTGAGGGAGGACTGGGGCAACTGGTTACTGCACCTCACACAAGTTAAATGTCCTCTGGAAAGAGAAGGAAAGCAAGACAAGAGAACTCACTACTCCGGGTAAAGGACCAGCTAGGGCTCCCAGCCTATGCCGAGGGGTGACCGAGGCTTCTAAGATGGAGAAGAACTCGGGGGAGTCTGAGCCAGCCCTTCACCTCCCCGAGCACCCCGGGGTCACCAGGTTGTGATTTCCACCAACTTGGGTTACTGAGAAGTTCGAGCATCCTGGAGGCATTTAGCCATTTGCTGAAGTTTGACATGGTGGGAGTCGATCAGTGATACCTCTGGGTGCAAAAGAGGCATTCTTTCCCAGATGTAACGACTGTATCCCTTGGTCTTGGCACAGTAGAATATCAAAACTCGGCACATGCAAACGAAGTACTCATGACATACGGGGGGGCATCAAAGGGTTCATGGAAAAAAGTCCATAATATTTCCATGAACTTCTTGCAGGCCCCTCATACAAACCTGGCCAACGACCCTTCAAGAATATTGCAGGCTCAGGTGTGCCCACTAAAGAGGTGTGTTGAAATCCAAACCCTGTTAGGAAAGAGGGCGGTTTCTTTGGTGAGGTCATAGCAGGGTAGGGTTGTTCCTGCAGTACTTCTCTATGATATCTTACAAAGGGCAGAACAGATAGACACATACATGAGGGAAAACATGCCACATTAGGGCCAATGATAGCCAAGTCTCCAGGTTACCAACCCATGTCCCACTTAGGGGCATCTCATACTTGCGCTTTAAGGATCTGGAAATTTGTTCTCACTTTGAAAACAAGTGAACCATCCCTTACTTGAAACAACTTCTTCCTCGCAGTCAGCTTCACTTACTAGACATGAGGCTTTGAAAGCATTACAAAGGCTTTGAGCCTGAGACTACATAAGGACTGTAAGCATCTCTTCCTACTGACAAATTTGTCACAAAGACACACTTGGGAACATGTTCATAGCCCAGGGACTGCCTGTGTAAGCAAAGAAATGCCAACATTGCCAGCTGATACCTGAGGCTTAGGAGAGGTCTGTAGAAGGAGTCAACATGGTTGGGACCCTGATTTAGACTTTTTGCCTCTTTGTGAGGAAATTGATTTCTGTTCTTTAAAGCCATCCATTTGTAGTATCTTTTATTTAGAGAAACACTCAAGGACGGTGAGAATGCAAATTAGTACATTCTCTATTCTGGAAAATACTATTTAACAGCTTCCTGGTGGCATAAGTAGGTTAGGTCTTGGGCTGCTAATCAGGTCAGCAGGTCGAAACCACCAGTTGCTCTGAGGGAGAAAGATGAGGCTTTCCACTTCCATAAGGGCTTACAGTCTCAGTAACCCACAGGAGCAGTTCTAGTCTGCCGGGTAAGGAGGCTGGGTCAGAATCGACTTGATGACCATGTATGTTGAGTTGGAATGAGTCCAACATGTGTCCACCCTGTGACCCAGCCATTCTCCTAGTCATGTACCCACGAGAAGGAAAGCATATAACCACACTACGACTTGTATGTTTAGAGCAGCTGATACATAAATGCCAAATAACTGAAACAGCTTAGATGTCCACCAGTTGTGAGATGTGCACACAGAGGAGGGCAGGGTTGGCATAAATGAATCTTAAAAACAATGTCTCACAAATACTCTGACAAAGCAAAATAACGCTGTGTATACTGACAGACAGCTCAAAAACTCCCTGCCATCAAGGTGATGCCAACTCAGAGAGAGCCCCTACCCAGAACCTCTTCAAACTCACTCCCATGAGTCAATTTGGACCCACAACGACCCTACAGGGCAGTGTAAAACTGCCTCTGTGGGTTTCTGAGATTATGATCCTTTATGGAAGTAGAGTGCCAAGTCCTTCTCTCTCAGAGCACGGAGCCCCAGGGGGATTTGAACTGCTACCTTGTAGTTATCTTGCAGGAGCCACCAACTCATAGCTCCCCGGTGTCCAAGTTGCCCAAAGCTGTGTCCCTCTCGTCATCAGTGTGCCAACACAGTGACACCTCCCTTGCTGTTGTAGGCCCTTGTCTTTGCCGAACAGAGTGTCCTCTTCTGGAGAACGATCCCTCCTGATGCCGTGTCCAAAGTTAGCAAGTCGGAAAATGTTCTGCTGTGACCCTGGGAGATGCCACTGGCTAATTCTCAGAAGTAGATTACCAGGCCTTTTTGTCTTAGTTCACCTTAGTCAAAGTTCCACTGAAACCTGCACACCAGGGGTGACCCTGATGGTTTCAGAAAGACAGCTGGCCCAGCTTCCAGCAGTACAACAAAGTGCAGATCAGTAGTCTGTGTAATCCCATGGAGACTGCGCTGAAGACCAGGCAAAGCCAATCGACAGCCAGAGAAGTCAGGAGAGCAGTTATCTTGGGAGAGGATTGAGTACTGACTGGAAAGGATCATCAGAGAAGGCCTGAAGCTCTGGGAATGTGCTTCTCATCTGAGTGGGCTCACATAGGTGGATACACACGAGGGAGTTACAAAAATTGTGAAAATTCCATTTTCCCTGGAGTGTTTTTGAAGCCCCTGCCCCTCCCCCCCGTCAAAACGCTGTAGACCTTTATTTTTTAAGATCTGTGTGTACATCACTGAAATATTAAGTCATGCCTCCATCAGTACCAAAAAGAAAAATGAAAAAGCACCTATCAATTACCCCTGGAAAAAGGATCAGGGACATGCATCGGGCATCTCAGAACAGCCACGTGCAACGGTGAAATCGAGGAAGGTGGGACAAGCGAACTTCTGCAAGGCTTACGACCTCACTGTCAACCCGACCCCGAGAAAAGAAGGGCCTATGACGTCAGTAACCACCTGCCCACCTTCCCCAGGAGAACGCAGGCGCATAGTTCTTTATCTGAGAAACCCCGTCCGTACAAACGAATAATTAGTTGCTTTGCCGCACCACTTCGAACCGCAGGAGAAGACAGCGGCGCGCCCTCCCAAAACTACATACGTCTCTGCGCAGCCGGCTCCTAACTCCGCCCTCCGGCCAGGCTCCTAACTCCGCCCCCCGGCCCGGCACCTAACTCCGCCCCCCGGCCCGGCGCCTAACTCCGCCCCGAAGGCTCTGCGCAAGCGCCATCCGTGGGGGCGGTGCTCTACCTGGGAGTAGTTGAAGGGCGTCACCTTTTTCTTCTTACTGACGCTGTAGCTCCCGGCGCTGCTGCC